GCTCTACCACTTGAGCCACAGCGCCACTTCCGGCTTTTTTCTTTTTTGCTTATGTGGTGCTGAGGAATTGAACCCAGGGCCTCAGGCATGCAAGGCAAGTGCTCTACCACTAAGCCACCTTCCCAGCCCGAAAGAAGCATTTTTTTTTAAAGTTACCACTCTGTTATCACACAGATCACTTGTGACTAATTCCTTTATAAAAATTAACTGTAGCCTCTAAAGGTTCCAAGAAACAATCTTTGTATATATCTCAGTGAGCATCAGGTCCATTCCTGGAACATATTAAAGCCTATAATTCAACTAGCAGTTTGAATTAAGTACAAAAATACACAGGCATGGGTATGTGTGACTATTAATTTTTTTCTCAAAGTTTTCTGAAACAACCAAACACATGTTTGTATAAATACCTCTTGAAATCCAGCTTGATGCCTTTATTGCTTTTCATAACCTCTGCCAGCCACTCCTGCAAAGTGTTATCGCTACTTATTTCAGGAGGGTGGGCCATGATTGGCTGACCATGCTCTGACTCGTCGCCCGGAAGAAGGACATCAGCCTCTATCATGTGAGCACAGCCTGCCCGAATGGAAACCTTCAGTTAGTGCTAATAAAACAACAAGCAGAAACACAGGAAATGCCATGCCCTGTACATAACGAGGAATGGAAAAGGAAGGAAAGAAAGCTAATGGTGAGGAATGACTACATGCCAGGTACTATACTAAGCCCTATATGTTGTCCTTACTTTTTTTCAGATGAATTAACAGGTGCCCAGAAGCTAAACACTGCCTAAGTTACAGAGTGCATAAACTGTTGTCAGACTTACGTACATGTTCCAGTACTGAGCAAAATGAGTATGTGAGGGTAGACTTACTAAGATTTGCGGAAGTCTTCTGGAAATAATGAATCATTATTTTTTCTTCTCAACTCTCAAATTTGAAGCTATGGTTATGTATTACTTATGGCTGAAGTGTATATTGAAAACTCATTTCTCTGTTTATAAGCACATATTCTTTGACAATAGGATTTCTAGCTCCAGCTGAGCTCCCCATTGACTGCAGCTCTATAAAGACTCTGGTCTACATCTACACCACCTGCAAAGGAACCAGTCAGTTGACCCACACTATCATGAGACATAGTACACACTGCTATTTTAAGTTGTAAGTTTGAGGTATATAAACAGAAGGAAACATCTGGAAGTCAAGTGTTGCCCTCACAAAAAATAGGAACCATGCATCATTGGCTTTGAAACCTAGTGAGGGATATAAAGGCAAGGAAAGAGCTAGTCATGGAAGTGGGAAGAGCAGTGTGGAAACTCTTATTTGAAGTATGAGAATATACAACTTGTTTTATGTAGCAGTAAAACCTGGCAAAACTGTCATCTGTAGCAACTAGGAGAAGACAGTCTTCTCCCTGATGAATTTGTGGATTTAAGAGAAGGAGGTATCCAGGGGAAAGCTGAAAGTGCGAAGACTTCTTTTAACTATAGTACATAATAAAAAGGAGTAAGCTAAATAATTAACTCTTCAGAATTTCAGAAGCATAGGAAGGTGATAACAGGTGAACTTGGAGAAACAGGTCAGCTTGTACAAGGGCTTTTTGGCTACTGAGGTGGTTTGAAGATTCCAATAACAGCCTCTGAGAAATAAAACAGCTAACTTAGTAGACAGGGATGAAATTATTACTTGTGTTAGCTCCAAGATAAGTGAAAGCAAGCAACTTACTTCTCAAGGCCTCATACATTTGTGCCTTGTGATTAGCAGCATGATACCAGACAATCTCAGCGCCATCTTCTGTTGTAATCTGGTTATTTCTCAGAAAATATTCCAGTACATTTTCACTCCATGATCCTAAAATAACAGGATTTACATGAGAAAGACTGGTACTTTCAATGGAGCAAAAAATTTTGAAGCAAAATTATACAAATGTAGGCATGATGTGGTGAGACATATGATGATAGATAAAAGATATGAGGCAAATTAACATTCTATATGTATTACAATTTATTACCCATAATCCTCTTGCTATATGTTAGATCTACAGATGTGTTTGACAGATTTGCCACTTTATATCCTCTGACATATATTCTCCACACATACCCAACTAAAGTTTTGTTCTCTATTTCTGTATACTTGAATTCTCTTTTAAATTCTCTATATAACATCACACAGTATTTCCTTCTTTCCTGTGTAGCTCTTTCACTTAGAATAACAGTTCCCTCAAGGCTCATGCACTCGTGGCTATTAATAAGAGTCATTTTTAGGGATGAATATTCTTCTTCTTTTGTGTGTATCTGTGTGTTTGTGGACAACACATCTTTACTTAAAAATCGGCCATCAGATAACTAGCTTGTTTCTATACATTGGCTATTATGAATAATGCTCTTGAGATATCTTTACAAGGTAGTGATTTTATTTCCTTTAAGTCTATGCCTACAGGAAGGATTGCTAGGCTAAAACAGTATGTCTCTAATAAAAAGGAATAGAAGATGATAAGGGATATTAACAAAGTAGTTATACTGGGAAAAATATAAACACTTGAATACAACATATATTATGATGCTGCAAGTATATAATAAATATAAAGATATCATACATTACATAATGTAATAATCAGTAGATATTCAAGATGGTCTGAACATCTGAAGCATAAAAAAGGATGTAGGAAGAAAATTAAAATGGCAAGAAATAGATCTTCAAGGGTTGAAACTTCAGAAATTTCACATCATAACCCAGCCCTATAAATAATATAAAGCCAAAGTTATGCTTGAAACTTGTTAGTTTTGTACAATTTGTTTCCTCCATCTGAAGTTCCAATGAACATTCTGCTGCATATTCTCTTCAGATTATGACTCTTGGAAATATTCATGAGTGGTTAAGTGAACTCTTGAGATAGTATTTATAGACTTATATAGCATGTAGAAATGTATTTAATTCTATCTGTCAACTACTTAAAATACACTGTATTTTCTCTTTATCATCTAACTCTGCTTATTCAACCATTTATTAATTGCCTTCCAAATGACTTCAAGTATTTTATGCATAAGATTATGCCCTTCATTAACTGTTCAACAACAGATATTAGAAACTGCCAATGAAATATTGTGCAAAGCAGTATTTGATCGGAGAAGAGAGGGGCAAATAAAGACAACTTCTAACCAATACACATGGGATGTAGCAACCACTCTGAATAAAGAGTTAGCTGGGGACCCCATTGTCCCCAAGCAGTCACCTCAGACACTGGCCCTATTCAGCACATGAAACAGTCATGGCCTTACAAACTTAAATGGCAATTTATGGCCAACATGTCCAACAAGAAAATAATGAAATCACAGTATTCACTGTGATACACTAAATGGAGCCTGCTGTGGTGGCATACACCTTACACCCAGCCCTCAGAATTTGGCACCAGAGGATTGTATTTTTGAGGCCTGCCTGGGCTACAAAGCAAGGCCCCATCACAAAAGGGAGAGAGAGATGGCAAAAGTGGCTCATTCCTGTAACCTAGCTACTCAGGAGGCTGGGATCTAAGGATCGCAGTTTGAAGTCTGCCCAGGCAGGAAAAATCTGTGGGACTCTTACCTCCAAACCACCAAAAAGCCAGAAGCAGAGCTGTGGTTCAAGTAGCAGAGCATAAACCTTGAGCACAAAATATCAAGGTCCTTAGTTCAAGCCCTAGGACTGGCACCATAAAAGGGGGCAGGGAAGATGGCTGGAGAGGCTGAGAAAGGAGTAGATATCAAATCCTAATGACTTAGGACTCTATATCTGTGCTGCACCTATTCATACCTCTCTGGGAGACTTATTTTCATGCTACCTTGACAAAGTTGGGTAGTTAAAACAGAAGTTTCTATCTTACAAAGTCCAAAATTAAGGTATGTATGTTTTTATAAGAAACTAGAAAAATTGGGCTGGGAAGGTGGCTCAGTGGTAGAGCGCTTGCCTTGCATGCCTGAGGCCCTGGGTTCGAATCCTCAGCACCACATAAGCAAAAAGAAAAAAGCTGGAAGTGGCGCTGTGGCTCAAGTGGTAGAGTGCTAGCCTTGAGCTGAAGAGCTGAGGGACAGCGCTCAGGCCCAGAGTTCAGGCCCCACAACTGAACCAAAAAAAAAAAAAAACCCACACAAAAAAAAGAAACTAGAAAAATCATGATCTTCCTACCTACATCTTCCATGTAGCTAAGATTATAGGTGGAAGCCACCATTCCCAGATCTACTAATTCTTTAAATAGGTGAATTGCTACATTGTACTCAGCCATAACTATGTACAAGATGCTCCTTGCGTCTGAGAATAGACACATGTCCAGATGAACATATTATAAATTGGAAATACCCTAAGTCAAGAATACATTTAGCCGGGCGCCAGTGGCTCACACTTGTAATCCTAGCTACTCGGGAGGCTGAGATCTGAGGATTGCGGTTCAAAGCCAGCCCAGGCAGGAAAGTCCGTGAGACTCTTATCTCCAATTAACCACAGAACACAAAGTGGTGCTGTGGCTCACCTTGAGCTGAAGAGCTGAGGGACAGCACCCAGGCCTACAGTTTATGCCCAATAAGAATACATTTAATACCCAATGTCATAGCCTATTCTAGCCTACCTTAAGCATGCTCTGACACTTTAATTGACCTAAGCTTGGAATTAATCGGTTGATGGGAAGAAAGTTTTCATCATAAATCCTAATGTGCCTTTTGTGTTTATTATGTGTTCAGAACACGTTTTTATTTTTGTAGGATAAAAACATTTAGGGCTGGGAAGGTGGCTCAGTGGTAGTATGCTTGCCTCGCATGCATGAGGCCCTGGGTTCGAATCCTCAGCATCACATAAGCAGAAAAAAGCCGAAAGTGGCGCTGTGGCTTATGTGGTAGAGCGCTAGCCTTGATCTGAAGAGCTGAGGGGCAGCGCCCAGGCGGAGATCAGCCCCATGACGGACACAAAGTTAAAAATAAAATAAAATCAGTCATTTGAAATTATGTCTATTTAAAAGCTCTTGTAGCACCGAGGATATGATTTTTCTTTTTAAAGATGCAGGGTACAAACATACTTCGGTCCTTACTTTCTTCAAAGCGAAGAACTTTAGAAAATGCTCATGTCTGGGGACACAGCTACCCTGAAAAAGAAGTGTCACCAGGCCGGCTGATTTGGGGAGGACGGAGGCTTCCGGAGGAGTTGCAGGCCGCGGACTGCCTCCGACGGCAGAGGTCCGACCCCAGCGAAGGCCAGAGCACCACGGTGGAGCCCCCAGCGAGCGCGCGCGGCCGGCCCGGCGCCTCCCGGCTCCGCCTCCCAGCGACCCCAGCGACCCACCGTTCCACCGATTACACAGGCGTCCCCGCCCTTCCATTTCAAGCGAGTCCTCCAAAGGCAACCATCTTGCCAGCGTCCCGCGCCCGCTAAATGCTCTTCCCTAAACCTCCTCCCGGAGCCGGCCTCCGCGCCGCGCGCCGGGCGCGGACGGGGTCCATCCCCAGCCACCGGGGCTCCGCGGGCACGGAGCGGCGCTCTTCCGCCGGGCGAATCCCCGACAGCGCCCACCCGGGTACCGAGGCCCGAAACGTGTCCCGGGGAGGCCGCCGCCCGGAAGCCCACGCCGCGGGCTATGGCGGACACCGCCCGGAGCGACGTCAAGGAGAGAGGAGTACCTGGGCCCCCAGCGGATGTTGTCATGGTGACGGACGCCCGCCGTCCGCGCAGGCGCTTCACGGGAGGGGTGGAAATCTGACTCCACTCCGGGCAGGATGCAGGCCCGTGCCTCGCGGGCGCGCCCGTGAGGAGGAGTGCGCACGCGCAGAGCTTTGCGCACGCGCACAGCACCTGAAGTGCAACCGGAGCTTCTAGCCTTGCCACCTTAGGGGAAGATGAAGAAGTGGCTAGTGTGAAGTATGGGTTTCCAAAGTTGGGTATATTTTCTTTTTAATCCTACTCATACGCTAACGCCATGAAATCATCAGTGCTCCCAAGAATAGAGTGTTGCTGCACAAAAATACTGAACTTTGTTCTCTCTTCCTTACATTTGAGGGCCTTCGTGGTACCAGAAGTCAAGGCAGCTTTGTATTCTTGAGATTTCAGGCAACACACCAAATTTAGAGCAAAACCTGAGTTTATTAAGAATTGTAAAGTTCTATGCCGGGCGCTGGTGGCTCAAGCCTGTAATCCTAGCTACTCAGGAGGCTGAGATCTGAGGATCGCGGTTCAAAGCCAGCCCAGACAGGAAAGTCCGTGAGACTCTTATCTCCAATAAAGCACTAGAAAATTGGAAGTGGGGCTGTGGCTCAAGTGGTAGAGCACTTACCTTGAGCTGAAGAGCGCAGGGACAGTGCTCAGGCTTAGAGTTCAAGCCCCACCACCGACCAAGAAAAAAAAATGTGAAGTTCATACAGAAAGACGCTGTCAGAAGTGACAACGGGTTGTCTCAAGAGAGGTTGAGTAGGACCATCACTTTTATATCTGGCCAACTTTTATCAAGGTTTCGGGAACCTGGGGGGTTAAGTTCTTCACCAAGGCCAGCCTACAGGGAATGATTGACACATGGTTATCAATGAATTCCACATCTCAAGAATCACCCTCTGACCCCCAACGTTGGTGGCTCACGCTTGTAATCCTATCTACTCAAGAGGCTGAGATCTATGGGTTGTGGTTCAAAGCCAGCCTGGGAAGCAAAGTCCGTGAGACTTATCTCCAATTAACCACCAGAAAACCAGAAGTGGAGCTGTGGCTCAAGTGGTAGAGCACTAGCCTTGAGAAGAGCTCAGGAACAGTGCCCAGGCCCTGAATTCAAGAACCATGACGGACAGAAAAAAAAAGTCACCCTGTGCCTGTGATTACACGTGACCACCTAAGAAAAAAATGGGGTGTGGTGGTGATTTAAAAGTAAAATGTGATTATGACATAGTCTTGGACAAAGAGGCCCACCTTAACCCAATTAGCACTTACTTTTCATTTGAGACCAGACCAGATGCAGGAAGATATAATGATGAGTAGCATTCAGAATTAATTTTGAAGATCATTACAGCACTGAAAGTAAATCAGTTAGAACCCAAGACCCTTGGTCAGCATCTTGGCCTAGTAGGCTGAAATCAGACACAAAAGAGTGCTTCAAATACCTTGCCTCTAGCTCCATATTCTAGCCCCTTCTAGTTTTGATAGCCTTCCTATAACCCTGGGGAGGCGGGGGTTGCAGAAAGAAACTGGTTAGGAATTAATAACTCATCAGGATATTGTAGGACACAACCAATAACGTGTCACCTTCCAAAAATACCTAAAGGGAAAACCAGAAGACAGCAATGGTGTAAGAACCCCTAACCTCAAAGCCACTGAGACAGTGACACATGCAAACACAGAGATATCTCCTGGGGAAGAGGATGGAAAGACAGAGCAGAGGCCTTCAATTTACTTTTCTGAATTAAGTTCTTGACACAATCTTCCCTCATCCTGCACAAGAACCTGAGAAGGCTCAGCAGCAGTGGTGGTGAAGGTGCAATGTTGGCAGACAATGGCTACTACTGGAAGGAATAGTCACTGAGAGGCAACTCTAGTGACTGCTGCTACTGAGCCAGAAGGGCTGTTTGGGCTCAGCTCATCACAAGCAACAACAATATTAATTAGCTTCATTGCCTTTTGTAATTTGCCATTTTTTTGCATGAATTTCCAAATCTGAATTTAAAATTCAGAAACCATAAAGTGAATGCCTATGTATATGAGTTTTATTCTTTTTGGAATCTAGCAAAATGTTTTTTTTTGTGTTAGTAGATGCTGTATTCAAAAAAGGACTTGAATCCTACATGGAATTTTCTATGGAAAAGACTTAATTTTAGGCTATATGTCAGTGGCTGTGGCCTATAATCCTAGCTACTCAGGAAGCTGAGATCAGAGGATTGTGGGCCAAAGCCAGCCAGGGCAGGAAAGTCCATGAGATTTATCTACAATACACTACTCAGAACAAGCAGGAAATGGAGCTGTGGCTCAACTGGTAGAATGCAAGCCTTGAGCAAAAGCTCAGGGACAGCACACAGGCCCAGATTTCAAGCCCAAGGACTGGCAAAACAAACAAAATTTTATGTTCCTGGCACCTGAAGGCATCAGGTTTGATGTATCTTAATGCAATGCATAAGATTATTTGGGTGACTTATGCAACTTTAAACTTGGCTTTTATTTTTGATAGGTTTCTCCTCATTCTAAAAGTGATAATAGGATCTCTTGTTAGATTAACCCCACTATGTGGGGCCTGAACTGATTTTTGCTATCCTTTATATGGTTGTTACAATATAGCTCATGTTCACTTTTAATGTTGGACTGGACATTCCTTATTCTCTTAAAATCTTTGTTTTATGACGATTCTAATCATATTCTGTTGTTTTCGGTGGGAGCATAGACCTAAATATCCAGGTAGGCAGTTTTCAGAAACAGAAGTTTTCCACAATTGCATCTTTGCTACTGCAGGGCAAATTAACTGCTAAATTCATTCTCTATACTTAGCACCTATGAATGCTGGCATGGAGTCCATAAATGAATTATCTAATTTTGTCAAAACCATACCATTAGCAATTTTTACTTAAAAGCTGCTCAAAATTAATATGTGTATTATTGAATATCAGTTGCTACATGTGACAAATGACCAAAATCTTAAGTTTAAAACATTTATTATCTTACAAAAGGTAATTGGTGGGCTGGGAAGGTGGCTCAGTGGTAGAGCGCTTGCCTTGCATGCCTGAGGCCCTGGGTTCGATTCCTCAGCACCACATAAGAAAAAAGCCGGAAGTGGCGCTGTGGCTTAAGTGGTAGAGTGCTAGCCTTGAGCTGAAGAGCTGAGGGACAGCGCCCAGGCCCAGAGTTCAGGCCCACGACTGGACCCGAAAATAAAATTAAAAAAAAAAAAAAAGGTAATTGGTTATCTTCTTAGAGTGAAAAGCAGGGCCTCCTGAAGTTGCTCATGTGCTGTTGGTGGAAAGCTTCAGGTCCTCTATGTAGCTGCCTACACTTGGCAGCTATCTAGTTTCCCTCAGTGATTTAGCCAAGAGAAGAAGAGACAGAGGGGAAAGAAAGACAAATGGACTAAAGATGGACAGCGAAGTCTTATCATATACTCTTCTACTATATTCTACTGGTCACAAAGACCAAAACCAGTATGAGTAAGGGAACCACACAACAGTTCTGGTAATAGGCAGTGGAAATCACTGTAGAGGCAATCTGGGAGACTAAGATTTTATTAAAAAGATCTTTATTGCTGAGCACTGGTGGCTCACATCTTTAATTCTAGCAAGCTATTCAGAAGACTGAGAGCTGAGGATGTTGGTTCAAAGCCAGCCCGGGCAGGAAAGTTTGAGCCATATCTCCAATAAATTACCAAAAAGCCAGAAGTGGAGCTGTGTTTTAAATGGTAGAATGCTGGCCTTGAGCAAAAGAAGCTCAGGGACAGTGCCTAGGTCCGGATTTCAAGCCCCAGCACCAGAAAAAAAAAATCATTGCCAGGCACTGATGGTTCATGCCTGTAATTCTAGCTACTCAGGAAGCTGAGATCTAAGGATCACATTTCAACACCATCCTGAGCAGAAAAGTCCATTAGAATCTTACCTCTAACCACCAAAAAGACAAGAAGTGGAGCTATTATTCAAGTGGCAGCATGCTACCCTTGAGCAAAAACTCAGGGACAGAGCCTAGACCCCAAGTTCAAGTCCAAGACTGGTGCATGTACACACATGTGCACACACACAATCTTTAATATTAGATCTATTCATCTATATAAAGCACAAAAATATAGTTGAATTTTATCACAAATGTAGAACATGTTTACCAAAATATATTGTGTATCAGTCCAAGCTTAATTCAAAATGGGATATTAAGAACAAAATCTAAGCTGGGCATCGATGGCTCAGACCTGTAATTCTAGCTACTCAGGAGGCTGAGATCTGAGGATTGCAGTTCAAAGCCAGCCCTGGCAGGAAAGCCAATGAGACTTTTTTTTCTTCTTTTTTATGTTTTTTTAATTGTAAAAATACTGTACAGAGGGGTTTAGTTACATGAGTAATGAGTACATTTCCTATTGAGCATTGCTACTTCCTCCTTCCCGTGAGACTCTGATCTCTAATAAACCAGAAAACCGTAAGTGGCCCTGTGGTACAAGTGATAGAGAGCTTGCCTAGAGCTGAACAGCTGAGGGACAGTGCCCAGGCCCAGAGTTCAAACCACACAACCGACAAAAATAAATAAATAAAATTTAAAACCACTTAATTTTTTCCAAGTCTTTCCATTTCCTAACAAATGAGGCAATGTCATTCTTTCTGGTGGAGGCACAGAATTCCATTGTGTATATATACCATATTTTTCTTCATCCATTCATCTACTGAGGGACATCTGGTTTGGTTCCATACCTTAGCTATGGTGAATAATGCTGCAATAAACACGGTTGTGCTGTGGTAGCTTTAGTATGGTCTTGTTTGTGATCATTCAGGTAAATGCCCAAAAGTGGGATTGCTGGGTCATAGGGGAGCTCTATGTGGCATCTTTTGAGGAACCTCCATACAACTTTCCAAAGTGGTTGAACAAGTTTACACTCCTACCAACAATGCAGTAGAGTTCCCCCTTCCCCATGGTATAACCCCTATTTTCACTGTATTTGATGTTGGTATAATTTGTGGAGGGGAAGGGAAAAAACAAATTGTTTAAATTGTTTAAATAGGGATACAGGACCCATTGCAACAATGAGATGTACAAGATGTTATGTCAAAAAATGAACTTTACAACTTTTGGCGGCGGGGGAGGGGGGATATGGCAGGGCAGGGATGGTAAGGAGAAACAAAGGAGGAGGCAACAATGCTTGATAAGAAATGTGCTCGCTTGATAAGAAATGTACGCATTATCCTGCCCATGTAATTGTAACCCCTCTGTACAGTATGTTCACAAAAAAAAAAAGAAAATTAAAAAAAAAGAAATGTGCTCATTTCCTTGCTCATGTAATTGTAAACGCTCTATGGTATTTTCACAATAAAAAAACTTATTAATAATAAATAAATAAATAAATATCCAGTCAAAAAAATTTTAAACCAAAAATAAAAATAAAAACAAAACAAAAAATTTAAAGCCACTAAAAATCTGGAGGGATGGAGCAAGAGAAAATAATTGGGAATAAATAGATTAATGTATGTTATAATAAAATACATCTTTTTTTTGGGGGGGTCCAGTTGTGGGGCCTGAACTCTGGGCTTGGGCACTGTCCCTCAGCTCTTCAGCTAGCGCTCTTCCACTTGAGCCACAGCGCCACTTCTGGCTTTTTTCTTTTTGCTTATGTGGTGCTGAAGAATCGAACCCAGGGCCTCAGGCATGCAAGGCAAGCACTCTACTACTGAGCCACCTTCCCAGCCCTAATAGACATCTTTTATGTGTATACAAGTCCTGAGGCTTGAACTCAGGGCCTGGCTCTGTCCCTTAGCTTTTTTGCTCAACACTAGCACTCTACAACTTGAGCTACAGCTCCACTTCTGGCTTTGTAGTAGTTAATTGCAGGTAAGAGTCTTATGGACTTTCCTGGGCTGGTTTTGAATGGTCATCCTCAGATTTCAGCCTCCTGAGTAGCTAGGATTACATCAGTGGGCCACCAGCCTTAAGTTTGAAACACATTTCATACAATTAATAAGAGATAATAAAAATCCAATAAACGAGAAATACTAATGTATCAGTTAAGTGGTAAAACAAATTTAGTGCCTAGTGCTTAGTGCCTAGTTAAAAAAAACAGAATAGAGAAATTTAATTCCAGTAAGAAAGATAGCCATGTAGTATTTTAGTAATAAAAATTTTGTTATGAAAAAAGAACTCCTACAAAAAGCATGCTGTAATTCCAGTAATAGTTTTTCTTCCTTTTTGTAACTAAGATGCTTTTCTCAATCACTATGGAAAAGTGGTCAGAAGTAATGAAAACTTTAAGATTGTGAACATAAACTACAAAACCCAAAGTAACTGGGTTGGTACAATTGTGTTCAATATGCTATGTTTTGTAAGGGAGTAAAATAAACATAGTCATGAAAAAGTGTGAAGTTCCTCAAAATTACAAGTGAAATTACTGTATGATCCAATAATCCACTGGGAATATATCTAAAAGGAAATAAAGTTATATCTAAGACTATCTGCACCGCATTTTCATTGCAACACTGTTCACAATAACAAGACATGGAATTAACCTAATGGAAAATTGAAAGGGTAGGGGTGTGTGTGTGTGTGAACTCAGGCTAAAAGGAAAGGAAATCTTGCAAGACATGGAATTAACCTAATGGAAAATTGAAGTGTGTGTGTGTGTGTGTGTGTGTGTGTGTGTAACTCAGGCTAAAAGGAAAGGAAATCTTGCCATCGTAACATAGGAATGAATCAAGGCACAGATAGACAAACACTGCATGGCATGCAGAATCTAGGAAGTTAAGCTCATAGAAGCAGAGAGTAAATGGTGGTTTCCAGGTGACAGTTGATAGGGAATTGGAGGAGATACAGATTGGGAGATAATGTTTCTCAAAGGAAACAAAATTTCAGTCAGGCATAAAGTTCAAAGAATTTCTTATATAATAGTGAATAACATAATAACAATGTATTGTATGCTTGAAAAAGGAAGGGAGAAATAATGTATTTGTTGAAACTACACCTAAATCTTGGCATATTAGGAAATAAAAATGACTACCTATTGAGGCTAAGGAGTAGGAAATATAAGGGTAGATGCATACAGATGAGAAGTAAAACTTAACTTTGTTTAAAAAATTTCTGAGGGGGTGGGGGGTAGGGGGGGATTCGGTGGGGGGGGTGGGGAGAGGCTGGGAAGGGATGTGAAGGGTAAACAAAGGAGGAGGCTGCAATGCTTGATAAGAAATGTACTCATTATCTTGCCCATGTAATTGTAACCCCTCTGTACAGTATGTTCACAAAAAATAAAAATAAAAATTTTAAAAAAATTTCTGAATCATGAATACACACACATATATTACATGAACAATTTCTTAAAAACCATAAAGAAAAAATAAAACCTAGAATGAGCTGGAAGTTTCTGTTTTGCTCAAGCTCAAGTTTTTTTTTTTTTTTTGGTCCAGTCATGGGGCCTGAACTCTGGGCCTGGGTGCTGTCCCTCAGCTCTTCAGCTCAAGGCTAGTGCTCTACCACTTGAGCCACAGTGCCACTTCTGGCTTTTTTCTTTTTGCTTATGTGGTGCTGAGGAATGGAACCCAGGGGCTCAGGCATGCAAGGCAAGGGCTCTACCACTGAGCCACCTTCCCAGCCCTCTGTTTTATTTCTAGATATATTCTTTAAAACCTGGGTCACATTATCAATGTTATGCTTGAATGGTAGCTTATGCCAGTAATCCTAGTTACTCAGGAGGTTGAGATTTGATTATCACAGTTTGAAGCTAGGTGGGGAAGTACATGAGAGTCTTATCTTCAATAACAACTCAAAAAAAGCTAGAAGTGGAGCTGTGGCTCAGTAGTAGAGTGCTAGCCTTGAGCAAAAAGAAGCTCAGTGAAAGCATCTTAGTCCTTAGTTCAAGCCCTAGGACTAGCCAAAAAAAAAAAAAAAGAAAGTCCAGTCTTTCTACAATATTACTTCCTTTTCAGATTCTCAACTTTTACCTAAACAAGTTTAGTGCCGACTATTAACAGTATCCCAGGTTGTCATTTTTTATTGGTATGGCCATCCTCTTCCTGGATTGTTTTGTTACCACATAGTCATATCTCTAGTATAGCAAAAAATATATTTACTACATATTATATAAAATATATTTGCTATATATTACCTCCACGAGACAAAGCAATGTTTTTATTCCTTTCCTAACTAACAAACCTAACAAATTGCTCTGCACACAGCACACACACAGATGCATCCCTAGTTTGTTGGACATAGATATAAAACAAAGGGGCAATGTTCTACTTCATATTTCAAAATTCAGGGAAAGCTAGTTGTATGAAAAAGCATACAACTAAAAACTGATCAATCTAGATGAACTACAAGAAGGCATTCTATTTCTTAACCCTTAAAAAATTAATATTTCAAGTATCAATGGGAAGAACATGTTCAAGTAAGTGCAAATGCATTTAGAAATATCCATGTACCAAGAATGTTTAAACACGTGCCACCAAACTTTAGGTACACAATTCCAACTGTTACTGAATATAGATGCTTTATGAAAAGGAATCCAAAGTTATCCCATTGTAGAAAAGCCTTCATCTATTTGATTACTTTAAAGAATTTAGTGTTCATAAATTGTGCACCTACTCTACAAAACACTTTCCAACATGTAAACAGACATTATATAAAAGAAACATAAACTGAGTTTGAAATGTACTTTTTATATCATTTCAGTAAATTTCACAAATTATGTTGCCATTTAACTAATACCAGCAACATTTTACATTGTTTATGAAATAGCAATTACCAGAAGACAATACTCGGCAACATGTGCATTTGGCTAGTACTAAAGATGTGATTGAGCAGGGACCACATGCCCAAAGAGATTAAAATTCTTGGTCTCTCCTATTTTGAGACCTTTGATCCTGAGTTATAGACTTGATTTGATCTATAATTTTAGATGCTTTTTAAATTAGGGCTATGTAGTGTTAGTAGTTTCCTTTTCTTTAGATATGCAATGAGTGTTTATGATACAAAACATATATTTCACATAAGAATAAAAAAGGCATCAACGTAATGATTAGATTTTACATAACTTACACAAAACACATTTTTTCTTTCCTTTTTTGCTGCTTGAAGTAATATGGAAAGCTCTGTAACAGTCTCAAATACATAGTCTTTAACTTATTTTAAATATCCTGGTATAAAAAATAGTTACCATACAAAGAATTTAAAATATGTAAAAGTAATTAGCTCATTAAAATGTATACTTCATACATTGTTGATGAAAAAAGTTGTCAAGAACTTTCTAAGGATTAACATGGAAGTAAAAAAATCTGTTTCAGGCTGCATTTATTGCTACATAATGACTATTTCAAGGATCATCTGCCTATTGTCAGTCTTAGAAATGTTAAATGCAGTGGTATACTTTGAAAGGAAGGAAAAAAGTTAATACACTGTGATATAAAAATATTGCCTATTTATAAATTATTAACCATTTATAAAACACATTTCAAATCATATGTTACTATAAAAACAATATACTTAAATATAGTATCATAAAATCCAGAAGCACCCACAATTATTTTATGAATACCATTTAATCAAGAAAAATGATATATTTGTTTTTATATCTACCTACCTCTATCTCTTTCTCTCTCTTTCTATATATATATAATAATAATTTAAGGGAAAAATGTAAAACTCTGACTCCAATCCAAACAGTTTATGTAATCATGGAGGTAGATTTCCACTCCATTTATACAAATAAATTATTGGCTTTATTCAAAGAACTGTGTCTAAGATCTCCAAACTGATCAGTGCCATTGAAACAGATTTTTAACAGACTTTAGAAACTGGTATTCTAAGTGGCATACACACAAAACAGATATTTCCTTCATATGGTTACATCTGAAAAGTGCCTTCATTAAAACCACTCTTGGGTGTAAAGAGGTATAACTAAGTGCAGATACTTTGGCTTAACAGTTAACACAGTAAATAAGACATATTTCTTAAAGTGAGAAGAAATCTGTGTCATTCAGGTACTTGTATTATATAAAGCTGAAATAATTGTTATTCTCTTAAATTCTTAGATTATTTCTGCCTAAAAAAGCAAAGCTTTTATGTTTCAGTCATTAAATGTTTACTTTTTTTTTTTTTTAACATTGTGGCATTTCAGAGGTGGTGCTAGAAATAGTTTTAACAGATCAGTTCAAAACATAAAATATAACACATCCTTTCACTAAAAAAGATTTTCTATAATGAAAAATACCAGTTCTATTTCTAATGGTAAACTAGAACTGGAGGTCCCGCCATGGATCACAGGAATCAGGGCACTGTCAAGATCATTTAGATAATGCTGAGGCAGAAGGTGGCCTTCACATCCCGCCTGAAATTCAACCTGGGGAAAAAGAAAATCTTGATAAGATGACCCTGAAGATTAGCAATCTAGTTTACTTTTGCAGATGAATATAAATGTAAGTATTTTAAAAACATTTAAAAATATTTAGTTTAGGCATGTTAGTACAAACACTAGACACTATTTAAAAAAAAAAGTCTATGTTCTCCCATTCTTTTTTTTTTTTGTCCGTTGTGGGCCTTGAACTCTGGGCTTGGGTGCTGTCCCTCAGCTCTTCAGCTCAAGGGAGCACTTTATCACTTGAACCACAGTGCCACTTCCGGTTTTCTAGTGGTTTTCTGGAGATAGAGTCTCATGGACTTTCCTGCCCAGGCTGGCTTTGAACCTCGATCCTCAGATCTCAGGCTCCTCAGTAGCTAGGATTACAGGCGTGAGCCACCAGTGCCCGGCTCCATTATTTCTTTTATCCATCTACTACAAAAATTATATTTGTTCCTTTGGCAGATATTATTCTTTTAAGTAATACATAAATATAATGGAGGTTTGGGGTCTTTGAATAATTATCAAAATTACTTTAAATAATATTTTTAAAATCTACTTAACATATTTCAGATGTGATAATATTAGAATTTGATATTGATGGTAAAATTCTATTTGACTAAAAAAAATCATCAATGCTTGCTCAAATAACCAATAATTACAAGTAGCTTCCTTGAAAGGGAGCTTTGAAAACAAAACTTCCTTTTTCCAGTAATATATCTTAGTTGGAGAAAAACAAGCCAGTATTTTAACCACTCTAATGAGAATCTTCTTTGAAAGTCTTTACGAGATGTTGGAAACAGTTAGAAATTAAATATACCCAACAGATTTGAACCACAAGTTCAAAGCAAAACAAACAGCTTTTACTTGTAAGATGAACATCATTCATTATTAAGAATAATACAAATTAAGATGATATTGGGGTATCATATTTTACCTATAAAATTGTCAAAGTCCAAAAGTTTTAGGGCTAAGGAATATAGCTTAGCGATAGAGTACGTTTCTAGTATGTATGAGGCCCTGAGCTTGATTCCAGCCACCACAAAAAAAACAATTTCATATGCATGACATAGGAGCAACATCTCTCAGCATTTGCAGAAATATATTGGCATGACTGCTGTTTAGAACAATATATTATCTATAGAGTACATACTTGAATCTGTCAATTCCCCTAGAAATTTTTCTTATGGCTGTACTCATACTTTTCAAAAACAAAATATTGTGTTGACGATCTAAATTTTAACAATATACACCATATAATGCATGAAGATCTTGTTAAAAAAATATGTCCTAATGAGTAATAGATCTATGACATATTAAGGAAGCATGGTAAAAATAGTATAAAAGGTGAGATAAAAAGCACACACACAGGGGCTGGGAAGGTGGCTCAGTGGTAGAGCGCTTGCCCTGGGTTCGATTCCTCAGCACCACATAAGCAGAAAAAAAAAAGACGGAAGTGGTGTGGCTCAAGTGGTAGAGCGCTGGCCTTGAGCTGAAGAGCTGAGGGACAGCGCTCAGGCCCAGAGTTCAGGCCCACGACCGGACCCAAAAAAAAAGCACACACACCTACTTGCTTTGTACATGTATAAAATCATAAAGAATATTGAATGTGGATAGCTTGATCAGGGATAGAGAGCTGAGGAAAGGTGGAGGTAAAGTGGGGTTGAGAGTTAAGGGTTGTTACCTTACATATATATCTACTAGTACCATTTACTTTATTGTCTGGACTTATCATCTACAAGGTTCTAACATCTACATAGAATATACTGAGAATGCAGCCAGGCACCGGTGGCTCAAGCCTGTAATCCTAGCTACTCAGGAGGCTGAGATCTGAGGATCGGGGTTCAAAGTCAGCCCCACCAGGAAAGTCCATGTGACTCTTATCTCCAATAAACCACTCAGAAAACCTGAAGTGGTGCTGCGGCACAAGTGGTAGGGCACTCACCTTGAGCTGAAGAGCTGAGGTACAACGCCCAGGCCCAGAGTTCAAGCCCCACAATTGGAAAAAAAAAGGAATACACTGAGAATGTAGTTTTCTGCAACGTTCACTGATGCTTTTACATATATACTTTCAAACTTTAAAAATTTTAAATCGTGAATTTAGTCAGAATAAGTAAGTTTAAAAAACTATTAATCAGGGCTGGGAAGGTGGCTCAGTGGTAGAGTGCTTGTCTCGCATGCATGACAACCTGGATTCCATTCCTTAGCACCACATAAAAAGAAAAGGCTGAAGTGGCACTTTGGCTCAGTGGTAGGAGGGTTAGTCTTGAGCTGAAGAGCTCAGGGACAGCACCCAGGCCTAGAGTTCAAGCCCCATGACCAAAAGAATGAATGAATAAATAAATAAGTAAATAGATAAATAAATAAATTACTAATCAGGCAGCATAGCCATGGGTCAGAACACCCTGCTATATGTAAAATAATTTCACTGGCCACATTCTTTTACATATTGGTCAATAGTTGTTTCCACTATAATGACAGAGTTGAATTGTAAGAGAGACACAACAATCTGCAATGCCTAAAATATTTATTGTCTGGCCTTTTATTTTAAAAATTGGCTAAATTCTGTTTTGGAGATCAACAGAGATAATACATATGAAGTGTTTAGCACATATTTTATGTCCTTAAGTTCTAGTTAAAGGCTGGGGATGAAGCTCAGTGCCATTCCCAGCACCATTTAGAAAAAAAAAAA